GTACGGTGAAGGTTGGTGAATTATTGTTTGCGATATTGCGTAAATGTAATAAATAGTTGTTTTCCAATAAAACAGATTCCGTTGGGCACAGTAGCGGAGAATGCTGTGTGGATGGATCACGGGAAGTTAGTGATTACAGCGTAATACTGTGTAGGGTAGTTTAGTTCAGGACTGTGTAGGGTAGTTTGGAGCAATATTGTGTAGGGTAGTTTAGTTCAGGACTGTGAAGGTAGTTTGGAGCAATATTGTGTAGGGTAGTTTAGTTCAGGACTGTGTAGGGTAGTTTGGAGCAATATTGTGTAGGGTAGTTTAGTTCAGGACTGTGTAGGGTAGTTTGGAGCAATATTGTGTAGGGTAGTTTAGTTCAGGACTGTGAAGGTAGTTTGGTGCAATACTGTGTAGGGTAGTTTAGTTCAGGACTGTGCAGGGTGGTTTAGTTCAGGACTGTGAAGGTAGTTTGGTGCAATACTGTGTAGGGTAGTTTGGTGCAATATTGTGTAGGGTGGTTTAGTTCAGGACTGTGTAGGGTAGTTTAGTTCAGGACTGTGAAGGTAGTTTGGCGCAATACTGTGTAGGGTAGTTTGGTGCAATATTGTGTAGGGTAGTTTAGTTCAGGACTGTGAAGGTAGTTTGGTGCAATACTGTGTAGGGTAGTTTGATGCAATATTGTGTAGGGTGGTTTAGTTCAGGACTGTTTAGGGTAATTTACTTCAGGACTATGAAGGGTAGTTTGGTGCAATACTGTGTAGGGCAGTTTAGTTCAGGACTGTTCAGGGTAGTTTGGTGCAATACCGTGTAGGGTAGTTTAGTTCAGGACTGTGAAGGGTAGTGTGGTGCAATACTGTGTAGGGTAGTTTAGTTCAGGACTGTGAAGGGTAGTTTGGTGCAATTCTGTGTAGGGTAGTTTATTTCAGGACTGTGTAGGGTAGTTTATTTCAGGACTGTGTAGGGTAGTTTAGTTCGGGAATGTGTTGGGTAGTTTGGTGCAATGCTGTGTAGGGTAGTTTGGTGCAATATTGTGTAGGGTGGTTTAGTTCAGGACTGTTTAGGGTAATTTACTTCAGGACTATGTAGCGTAGTTTGGTGCAATACTGTGTAGGGTAGTTTAGTTCAGGACTGTGAAGGGTAATGTGGTGCAATACTGTGTAGGGTAGTTTAGTTCAGGACTGTGAAGGGTAGTTTGGTGCAATTCTGTGTAGGGTAGTTTATTTCAGGATTGTGTAGGGTAGTTTATTTCAGGACTGTGTAGGGTAGTTTATTTCAGGACTGTGTAGGGTAGTTTAGTTCGGGAATGTGTTGGGTAGTTTGGTGCAATGCTGTGTAGGGTAGTTTGGTGCAATATTGTGTAGGGTGGTTTAGTTCAGGACTATGGAGGGTAGTTTGGTGCAATTCTGTGTAGGGTAGTTTATTTCAGTACTGTGTAGGGTAGTTTATTTCAGGACTGTGTAGGGTAGTTTAGTTCGGGAATGTGTTGGGTAGTTTGGTGCAATATTGTGTTGAGTATTTTTGTACAATACTGTGTATGGAAGTTTAGTTCAGTACTGTATAGGGTAGTTATAGTTAGGATTATGTAGGGTAATTTAGTGCATAGGAATACACACACACACACACACACACACACACACACACACACACACACACACACATGTAGTGAACTCAGAATATGATGTAATGTTGTCGAATGACGTATAGTGTGATGAATAGTAGTGTATTAGACGGGATAGTAGTGTATTAGACGGGATAGTAGTGCAGAGGAATACAGTGCCACGTGTGGGATAGTAGTGTAGTGTATCCTATACTAGTGTATTGTAGTGCGTAGAAGAGTGAGTGAGTGAGTGAGTGAGGTAGCGTAGTGGGAAATTGTGCTGAATAATCTGGGAAGATAGTAAGGCATTGTATTTGGGTTACCGCACTGCTCTGTAGCGTTGTGTCAAAGTAAGCGCCAATACTACTCTCAGCACCGTTAAATCTCAGTCCCTCACTCAATAATAGCATATGTCAATGAAGATCCGCGCAATCTTGAACTGATCTCCAATAACCCATTGTTGTCGTAAGAGGCCATTAGGCTTGTTGTAAGAAGTGACAAACGGGTGAAAGACGTACTGGTTTGATGCATGTCATCGTATCCCAATTGCGTAGATCGATGTTCATGATGTCAGTCACTGGATTGTCTGGTCCAGACTCGAGTATTTGCTGCCCCATCAGAAAGCTGGAATATTGCTGGGTGTGAACTCAAACAATAAACAAACCACATTAGCAGATGCTAGCATGTCCACTGCACATAAACTATCAACCCCACAACGAGCTTCCCCCTCTCCCTCTTATCACAACACACGTCATCTGATTACGATGACTGACCTTCACCCTGTATGTCACGGAAGCCGTTGTTAAAGTCAGTCATGACGAAAATGGTAGCCTTGCTTCAAGGCTGTACTGAAGGCTATGCCCGTGGATGTATCGTAATTCTATCCTTTAAAGAGACACGTCTAGATAGGCGGGCAGGACAAGGACGCCAGTTTGTGAGAAAGTTATTTCTATTTTTCTAGAAATTATCATTTAAAATATTACGTATTACTTTAGAGACTTGTGCAAGTCTACGAAAAAATGGCTGACATCGCCGATAGATTTCACGTGGTTTCAACGGTCATCTCCAGAACAGACAGATCATTGTCAGGAATGAAGAGTGCCTGCTGTTCATAAGCACTCGGATGCATAAACGGCTGTCGATGATTTGGGTCATTACGGGGGATACTCAAACTCACTGCCCTGGCTAAGAATGCAGTTTCTGCGGCGCATGCTATTTATATTAGTTTGTTAAGACTTCATACATGTAAAACGTGAAGCCACGAGCCGCTATAACCTGGAAGGGTTGGGATTTATAAGGTCTGGATTTACCCTGACCTCAAGAAACCATTAGGATGATCAAAGAGGCCTATAAACCGTGTTCTCTGAGGATTGTGACTCAGTTGGTTTTTACGCCGCTTTGAACTGTGTTTCAGTTACATCAAAGCGTGTCTGTTTGATGTGGGAGGGATGTCCGAAGTTATACACGTCTGAGACTGTTATAACTTTGGTGAAACCCACGAGCGCCAATATGGTGCTGTCAAACCTAGCAATACAGTCAGGGTGAATCAAGGATTCGACCTCAGGATTACAGAAGTCGAATTCAGGATCAAGTATTCAAGTACGTCCTACGGATGCAACATGCCACATTATGATGAACCAAAATGAGACGTCAGAAGGAATGTCAAAGAGAAACGTCAAAAGGAACACCAAGATGGGTGTCAGGAGGAACACAAAGATGAGACGTCAGGAGGAACACCAAGATGGGTGTCAGGAGGAACACCAAGATGAGACGTGAGGAGGAACACCAAGATGGGTGTCAGGAGGAACACCAAGATGAGACGTCAGACGTCAGGAGGAACACCAAGATGAGACGTCAGACGTCAGGAGGAACACCAAGATGAGACGTCAGACGTCAGGAGGAACACCAAGATGAGACGTCAGGAGGAACTCCAAGATGAGACGTCAGGAGGAACACCAAGATGAGACGTCAGACGTCAGGAGGAACACCAAGATGAGACGTGAGGAGGAACACTAACATGGGACGTCAGGCGGAATGTCAAAGAGAATCGTCAAGTTGAACGTCAAGAGGAAAACCAAGATGAACGTCAGGAGGAACACCAAGATGGACGCCAGAGGGTACGTATAAGGTAAACGTTAAGAGGAAAGCAAAGGTGAAATTACTTGAGCAACGTAGGCATTTGTAATTATATCACCCCTGAGATCTTATAAAATGTAAATCATGTCCCCACGAATCACATTTACATTATTTCTACATGTAGGACTTACCTTAATACGTACTACCAATGCTCATCTATTCCCAAAGAATGTCTACACTCGACCCCTTTAAAGAATCAGCTGAGGTAGAAAGGTAAGAGTTTAAAAACCTGCCATGTTTTCACTTTGAAGCTCCTCGGTATGCTTGATGTTGTAAATCCCAAATATTTTGAAAATGAAAAACAAGGGAAAATGCTTTAATCGTTACCCATAATAACCCCTTTAAAATTAAGAACAAATTTGATCTATATTTCTTTTTAACAATTGTAGTATGCCTTTCCTAGTCTTTAAACCGCAAACTTTAAAACGGGGATTGGTCTTTTTTTTTTCTCTTTTTTTTGCTCTATTGGTCAGCTTTCAGACAAAAGCACTAGGTACTGTGTCACGTATTCGACACACGTTGTACCAACCCGAGATATCATATTGAAATGTCCCGGATGTCATTAACCAGGTGTTGATACCGATACTACACACCTGTCAACTCGAAACAACTAAAACATATGTTCCATTGCCTACGTCGAGCGACAAAACAGAACATTATTTTCCAATTTTGTCAGTACATAAGACACACTGGTCAATACGTTAAGAAGTGAGACACAATTCATCGCAACAGTCATTTCAGGCGGGGCCTCATCATCACTGTGTTTCCGACAGACATATATTGACTCATACGCCCGTTAGAGTTACCCCCCTTCGTTAGCTGTATCTCCCATTTGGTATCGACGTGAGCGCTGGTGTGTATGTTAGTTTACATATAAAAGCAGTTCGATTGAAGACACCATGTGGTTGATAATGAAAAAATATATGTAAGGCTAAAATCTAATGTTACACCAGTTAGAGCCAGAGAGTGCATGTCTTTCGCGCGTGCGCGCTAGTGTGCGTGTTTCTGTGTGTCTGTATGTTGTTCATCATCGCACTCGACAATATGTCACCTGTGTGATGGCGGCCTGTAGTGAGTGAGTGTGGTTTTATGCCGCTTTTAGCAATATTCCAGCAATACCACCACGGGGGACACTAGAATTCCATACCGTAGTTATCCAACATACGGAATCCCTTAATGCTGATGCTGATGCGCCAGGCACGGTAACAACAAGTTCTGTCCTTTAACGTCTTTTTGTATCATTAATGTACTTTAAAACAACGAAACATAGAGACATGTATAGATCTTTTAAGTATTTTATTTATTTACAAGTGTCTCCAGTATTAATGGCCTCCACAGTTCCCCACTTTAAGAGCAGTGTCCCGTGACCTTGAAGTCGGAATGGGAGTGGGACATCACGTCCTTGCCGTAGGCGCAAAACATCGTTCTGGATAAAACAAGAAATAGTTTTGTTAAAGAGTGAGTGAGTGAAGTTAGTTTTGCGCCGCACTCAACAATAATAAAACTATATGGCGGCGGTCTGTAAATAATATTGTCTGAACCAGACAATCCAGTGATCAACATCATGAGCATCGATCTACGCAGTTGGGATACGATGACATGTGTCAACCAAGTCAGCGAGCCTGACCACCCTGTCGCTCTTACGACAAGCATAGGTTACTGAAGACCAATTCTAACCCGGATCTTCACGGGTCTTTTATTTAAGAAAACAAAACAGGGTTGCACAAAAACACAATGATATAAAACAAATCGGGTGCACGGGTGCAAAAGGACGTGTTACACTGGGGAACCCCAACCGGATTTGTGTTGGTTACCGCTTTAAAACAAGGAAAGTTCGGGCAATTGTTTCAAGTTTCCGCGTATCAACATCACATCCGGAACTAGAGAGTGTGATAGTTGGCATGTCATTGATCAAACCTCCGGCAGATATGGCCAGCGTCCTGAACAATGACTATTTCCGGCACGGATCATGCACATGCTGATGGAGTTTCTCTATTTATGTCAAGTTTACGACTTAATAAAATAAGGAAAATATGTCCTATGGTCATATGATATTTCTATGTCAAAGTTTAAATCTGAAAACAAACATATGGCTGTTTTTCGACCTCCATATTGGAGATTTTTTACTCTCTCGCTGATAACGGACCGGTTATATCATACCGGGTTTGCGTGTCAGGAGTTGCACTAATATTTTGAATGGAATATGTCTTTCCCCTAATGGTTGACTTTTCCCAGGTCCTTGTATATGTTTGTCATGACACTCCATGAGCAGACATACCGTAATTCCTCTAATAAGCGCCGGACCTCTAATAAGCGCCTGGGGTGAAGCAGCGGTTTAAGAAATAAGGGCGCGGCCTCTAATAAGCGCTTGGTTTCTAATAAGCGCCGGGTACGTTGTATTCTCCCTTTATGCAAAAATAGATTTATTTACGGTAACCCAGTAAAAGCAACAAGCGCCTGGTTTCTAATAAGCGCCGGGTACGTTGTATTCTCCCTTCATCCAAAAATAGATTTATTTACGGTACACCCCAGTAAAAGCAATAAGCGCCTGGCTAGCTATTCTCGAAACTTCTTAAGTCCCACGACCTTCGTAAGCCCATTCTTAACACATTGGCTACGATCAAAGTTAGGCTTAAGAAGTTCGTAGAACTTAAGAAGTTTCGAGAATAGCTAGCCAGGTTTCTAATAAGCGCCGGGTACGTTGTATTCTCCCTTCATCCAAAAAATAGATTTATTTACGGTAACCCAGTAAATGCAATAAGCGCCTGGTTTCTAATAATACAAGATATTAGAGGAAATGCAGTTATCCAAAAGCAGTATTTTTTATTATGAAATGTTCATTTTGTCCTCTGTGTGCAGGTCACGTGACTAGTTCGTGGCAATACAATGTACGGAAAGCATCTATAAATGTGTAGTAGACAGTATGACTAATAATGATTTGGCCGTTCATTTATGAATAGCAGCATCATGTTAAATATTGAATAATTATCTTTTTTAAATGTTTTGCACTTTAAACATAATTTGGTCACGCTACAAATAACCTTCAATTCTCCACTGATCAATGCAAATGAAATGCTTTTATATAAAAATATACAGCCGTCTTATGTGTCATATTGACATTTCTATTAAGGCTGCTATATCTCACCTCACAACCTAAACACCAGCTTAACATAACATATCCATAATCTAAGCATGGTTTAAAAGTTTAGAAATTGCAACAATTAGGTACACGATGTACATTGACTGCGTGAGTGAGATCAATCACCATTTTTGAAGCATATTACGAGTTTATATTTTGATAACTCCCCTTTTAAAAAAATTTTGAACCACGAAATTGTTTGTCGATTTAAAATAGCTGTTTGGTATCTGCGTATGTGCACTCACTTCTGCTGCGTTTCCCCTTCTAGGACGGAGATGCCCATCAGCTTCCAGTCAGCCGGGTACATCCACCCGACGAGAAAGCTGGAGGTTTTGTCGTAGCTGACGGTGATACCGGTGATGTTGCCAATGGACGCGTGTGCGGTGACCAGGTGTGTGAGAACCTTACCTGCGTTGATCACTTCATTAGATCTGGGGAATAATTTGTTGATGTGAGTTCAGACAGGCATACTATGTACCTGTCCATGGTAGCATGTGAGTTTGATTTAATGTCGCTGTGAACAGTGAGCGAAATAGTTTCCAAATTTTGCTAGCCAGTCGGGCTAGCTATGGTGAAAGTTACTAGCCAACAAAATAATTCACCAGCCCGAAATTCGAATGTAGACACGGGTTTCATCATTAAGCTGCTAATATGATGCCATTTTTATCAGGTCATAATCTTGTATGATTTAAGAGTGTACAAGACTTACAAGTCGGAAAGAGTGATATATTTACAAAATGACCCCATGAAAATCCACTGGCCAGTCGGGTCAGGGATTGTGGATATTTACTGGCCCGACTGTATTATACTAGCCACGGGCTAACGGGCCAGTGGCTATTTCGCATACTGGCTGTGATTAGGACTTCATTTAACAGTGTAACAGTCTTGTGTGCGAGGAAAACGACGTATTGCCATTGCCGTTTACGACTTTGTTGAAACCCACGAGCAAGCACCTGGTACATACAAACATAATTAGTGAAGCTGGGATTCGAACCGTAGTCGTAGGTTTCTTGCACGCCCAAGGGATGCAACTCTAATCAGCTAATTGCCTCGCCTTACTGGTCTGAACCACCCATGCCCGAATGTTCATGTGGGGAAGGCCTAAGGTACCGGCCGGTTCATCACGTGATATAACCGTTACAGTGATCATAACTCCTATATTTTATTGAAGGCCCACGGCTGTCAAAGTGCTACGATCGTTTCTGGAACGGGGCTGTGATGATACGGTATGGAAAACAGATTCACCCCTTACCCACACTCCCACCCTACACCCCTAAAAAGAAGAGTGTGTGAAGTCCTATTTGTCCATACGTTTAAAGATGTTAACATGGAAACATTATCGACACTGACTAAATCGCCGTACTTCATTAGGGGTATGACGGACGTGTCGCCAGCTGTTCCGTGCAGCGTCACCTTGACGATGCCGTCCATCTCGTTGTCGGAGGAGATGTTGACCATGTAGTGGTAGCCTGGAAATACACAAAAAGTTCACTTGTATATACACCCGAGGTAGCTTGGCAACAAACGCTAGGTTCTTCAGTGTGAATAAACGAGGTAGCCTGGTAACAAACGGTAGCATCAATTGTACAACACCTCGAGGATGCCTGCTAAAAACACTACTTTGGTTTGCATAAAAACCCAAACCTACAATAAACAGTTACTAGGTATATTTGTGTAGTACCTGTGCCTACATTAAACAATCAGTAGCTTCATTTGAATATATACCCCAGGTAGCCAGGCAACGAACGGTCTGAGATTTCTTCAAGGCTGTGTGGTTTCCATAATTAAAAACACCCTACGTTGGGTCATCAGCTATTGTGTGTGGATGTGTGTTCTGTTCTGTTGTCTTTTCCCTCAATACTTTCAATTTCAGTTAAAGCCTCGCGAGAACAAACGGATAAATATTTTGATTATTATTAATTATGATTTACTTATGCGGAGATACAAACATCAACAAGAGAAGTCAAACTCCCAAACTAAGAAGAGCCACCTCTGAGATTCTAAAGATCTCCGTTGAGTCTACAGGGTTTTTAGTTAGGGTCGGGGTGTAGCCGAGTGGTTAAAGCGTTTGCTTGTCACACCAAAGGCCCGGGTTCGATTCCCTTGGAGGAGTCGTACACTGAGTGCCAAGCCAACACACTTACCCCAGGATGCCCACTATCGCGGCTAACACAAGGGCAAATCTCGACATGCCAAGCCATCAGAACACCCGGTGTTTTTGGACTTCTTTCATTTAAGAAATCCTATACAACATATTCAATCGTATTCAAAGCCAATAATACATGTGTCCAAAACAGCAGGGGCGCTGGGGTACCCTAGTGGTAACGCCGAAGGCCCGGGTTAGATTCCACAAAATGGGTGCAATGCATGAAGCCCATTTCTTGTGTCCCCCGCCGTGATATTTCTGGAATATTGCTAAAAGCGGCGTAAACCTAAACTCTCCCACTCAGTACAGTCAGTTTAGAGTACTCGGTCACTCTGTCTATCATATTCTCCACACGGATATATAACATTTATAGCTTCCCCACGTTGTCTGCCTGTCTATCATATTCTCCACACGGATATATAACATTTATAGCTTCCCCACGTTGTCTGCCTGTCTATCATATTCTCCACACGGATATATAACATTGATAGCTTCCCCACGTTGTTTGCCTGTCTATCATATTCTCCACACGGATATATAACATTGATAGCTTCCCCACGTTGTCCCCACGTTGTCTGCCTGTCTATCATATTCTCCACACGGATATATAACATTGATAGCTTCCCCACGTTGTTGTCTGCCTGTCTATCATATTCTCCACACGGATATATAACATTTATAGCTTCCCCACGTTGTTCTGCCTGTCTATCATATTCTCCACACGGATATATAACATTGATAGCTTCCCACGTTGTCTGCCTGTCTATCATATTCTCCACACGGATATATAACATTTATAGCTTCCCCACGTTGTCTGCCTGTCTATCATATTCTCCACACGGATATATAACATTTATAGCTTCCCCACGTTGTCTGCCTGTCTATCATATTCTCCACACGGATATATAACATCCCATATCATATTCTCCACACGGATATATAACATTGATAGCTTCCCCACGTTGTCTGCCTGTCTATCATATTCTCCACACGGATATATAACATTGATAGCTTCCCCACGTTGTCTGCCTGTCTATCATATTCTCCACACGGATATATAACATTGATAGCTTCCCCACGTTGTCTAGCTTCATATTCTCCCCACGTTCCCCACGTTGTCTGCCTGTCTATCATATTCTCCACACGGATATATAACATTTATAGCTTCCCCACGTTGTCTGCCTGTCTATCATATTCTCCACACGGATATATAACATTGATAGCTTCCCCACGTTGTCTGCCTGTCTATCATATTCTCCACACGGATATATAACATTGATAGCTTCCCCACGTTGTCTGCCTGTCTATCATATTCTCCACACGGATATATAACATTTATAGCTTCCCACGTTGTCTGCCTGTCTAGCTTCCCACGTTAGCTTCCCCACGTTGTCTGCCTGTCTATCATATTCTCCACACGGATATATAACATTTATAGCTTCCCACGTTGTCTGCCTGTCTATCATATTCTCCACACGGATATATAACATTTAACATAGCTTCCCCACGTTGTCTGCCTGTCTATCATATTCTCCACACGGATATATAACATTGATAGCTTAGCTCTGCCTGTCCCACGTTGTCTGCCTGTCTATCATATTCTCCACACGGATATATAACATTTATAGCTTCCCCACGTTGTCTGCCTGTCTATCATATTCTCCACACGGATATATAACATTTATAGCTTCCCCACGTTGTCTGCCTGTCTATCATATTCTCCACACGGATATATAACATTTATAGCTTCCCCACGTTGTCTGCCTGTCTATCATATTCTCCACACGGATATATAACATTTATAGCTTCCCCACGTTGTCTGCCTGTCTATCATATTCTCCACACGGATATATAACATTTATAGCTTCCCCACGTTGTCTGCCTGTCTATCATATTCTCCACACGGATATATAACATTTATACACGGATATATAACATTAACATTGATAGCTTCCCCACGTTGTCTGCCTGTCTATCATATTCTCCACACGGATATATAACATTTATAGCTTCCCCACGTTGTCTGCCTGTCTATCATATTCTCCACACGGATATATAACATTTATAGCTTCCCCACGTTGTCTGCCTGTCTATCATATTCTCCACACGGATATATAACATTTATAGCTTCCCCACGTTGTTTGCCTGTCTAACATTTATAGCTTCCCCACGTTGTCTGCCTGTCTATCATATTCTCCACACGGATATATAACATTGATAGCTTCCCCACGTTGTCTGCCTATCTGTATCCTTCAGACAACAACAGACAACAACAAAGCCACGAGAAGGTTAGAATCGGATACAAAATCTATACAAGAAGTCGGGTTATGGGCGGTGCATTAGGCCACCAGCAAGGTAACGGTTAAATCATACAAGTAAGGCTAGATTACCCCAGAAAGCTTCTCGGCTATGGATTAGAGGAAAAAATGATATACATGTACATTATCAATCAGTGTAACTGTTATCGGACGTCGTTCCTTGCTAATACATGGTATTCGAGTGAGGTTTGTAATTTGGCTTTGTTCAAGGGCAGCCCCTCGAAGGCAATCGTTTCGTAACCTAATATATATGATAATTCCTGGCGTTGGGCACTTCGCAGACGATGGTCCTTTTCATAGCCGTGTTTCATTCACTAAATATACGGTGATTAAGGGTGTATAGCTTGTAATTCCCCTAAGTTTCCCGCAGGGTATCACGATATTTTGTTCGTAGACATGGCCCAAGGGAGAGAACTCATTGACAAGAAGATTATACACAGTAGTACTACAGGCGAGCTTGTCTCTGTTCATTCCCAATGTCACAGCTGAAATGTGGTCGATAGGAATTTAATAGCAGCAATATATGGATTTTAGGCATGTTTTGTATGTATGTATGTATGTATGTATGTATGTATGTATGTATGTATGTATGTATGTATGTATGTATGTATGTATGTATGTATGTATGTATGTATGTATGTATGTATGTATGTATGTATGTATGTATGTATGTATGTATGTATGTATGTATGTATGTATGTATGTATGTATGTATGTATGTATGTATGTATGTATGTATGTATGTATGTATGTATGTATGTATGTATGTATGTATGTATGTACAGTTTTCCCAGAAATTATTGAGAAAATCTTTGTTTCCTAATTGTTAATCAGTTTGTAAGAATTATCAGTTTTTGGGTACGGTTGATTCAACAGAATGACAATATAATCTTATCAAATGCTTATCTTTATCAATATAGACTAGCAGAAATTGGAATACCTTGTTGGGCGTTACAAGTAAAACAGCTATTAGACAAGTATGGTTTTGGATATGTATGGAAAAACCAACTAGACTTAGACCTTTCATCTTTTATAGGAACCTTTAGAAATAGATGTATTGATATAGATACACAGACTTGGTTTACACGTATTCATTCCTATACTAAACTGAATATATATTGTGACATTAAACTTTCTTTTGAGAGAGAGGTGTATTTAACTTCTCTGGATGTACCAGCTTATCGTAAGGCTCTGAGTATATTTCGCTGTTCAGGCCATCAGTTAATGATAGAGTCTGGAAGAAAATCTGGTCTGACAAGAAATTCTAGATTATGTCCGTTTTGTGTTATACCTGTAATTGAGACAGAATACCACATATGTTTGGAATGTCCTTTTTACTGTAATCTCAGACATACAATTTTGCCTGAGTTCTATTGTACTCAACCTTCTTATGATAAACTGGTATTACTTTGCACATCACACGATTCAGGTATTTTAAATCATTTAGCGAAGTTTTTGTTCCTTGCATTCAAACAACGTAACAATTACCTTAACAAAACTTGTACAACCCATTAAGTGTATGTTTATTGACCTTGTACAGTGTTATGGCGCTCCAGACTTTCCACTTTCATTATATGACTTATGTAACTGTATAATGTGCCTGTGGCCCCTTTATTGAATAAACCAATTACTAGGTATTTGCCCTAATACGGATAATATACTACCCATCAAAAGTTTACACTCACTTAAAGCACTCACTATATGTTATGTATATATATATATAAGGTTACACTGGAGATGAATTTCTCCACTAACTTGGGGGAACCAACTACAAACTTTATGGAGATGAATTACACGAGGAATATGCATCAAATTGCTAAAACGCACGTGCAAATATCGTGCATGTGAAAAGCTGCGTTTTGGTGTAAAGTTTTGTTAAGAATTCGCCAATTTTCTCTGAGTTTCATCATTAATTGAACTCATAACAATAATCCTTTCAACGTTACGAATTTGTTTTACAATACATCAGTTCATGAGTAAACTGTAGCTTTAAACAGTGTGGAATATTTTGCAAAATCTAGTTTAGAACAGTTGACTGAAGTAAGAGGCTACATTTACACTAGTGAGTCTAAACTTTTGATGGGTAGTACTTGGTTGACACATGTCATCGCTCCCAACTGCGTAGATCGATGCTCATGCTGTTGATCACTGGACTGTCTGGTCCAGACTTGATTATTTACAGACCGCCGCCATATAGCTGGAATATTGCTGAGTGCGGCGTTAAACAACAAACAAACCAAATTCTGACCCGGATCTTCAAGGGTCCACTCCTAGCTACAGTTATGACTAACTGAAAGCGTTTCCTGAGGAAACAGCAGGTTACCGTGGTTACAAGTGATATATTGGTATGTACAAGCGGACATAAAACCGTCAAAAATTAAACGTTTTTTTACGTAATATTAACATATGTTATACAATTCATTATGGTAAACTATTCTTCCCCCCTCCTGGTTCAAGGACACTGGAGAAATAGGGGGAGGTAACTCACCGCAAAATGGGGAAGCCGCTTGTGTATTGAGGAACAAAGATCCGCGCCCAGGGCTTTCGATGGCATGATAACCCATCTTGGAACACTGACTGCCAAGACACGAGAGACAACGGCCATGGTTGAAGTCATCGCCGCCGGTGCAAGGGAACCCCATGAACGGGCAGACTGAGTTGATGCTTTCAGTGTAGAGGGCGTAGGACCTCTCGTGGCTGCAGGCAACGGCAGCTTCGGCACCTGAGTTAAGAATGCAACATGAACCAAATAGGCATCTGTTCACAGTAAGGCTTTATGCGTTTGCGTAGATCGATTCTCATGCTGTTGATCACTGGATTGTCTGGACCGGACTCGATCATTTACAGTCCGACGCCGTAATAGCTAGAATATTGCTGAGTGAGGCGTTAAACAACAACCAACCATCACCGCACTCAGTGATATTCCAGCCACAGGCCCCCACTGCGGGTCAGAAAATCGATAAACTAGGCCCCGGTTTAGTATCAACACCCCCTACTATATAATACACAAAGGTTCATCACAGAAATACGGTGACATGATCGAAAACCGGACAATTACGCACACGTCAATGACTATATCGTATTTTAAAGGTCTCACAAGTATCAAAAGCTTTTGTCCATATCTCCGATGTATGTAGGAGGCATATACATGCGCTTTCCGTGGGGATGCATTTGATGGGTTTTATTAAATCGCCAAAGACAGAGTTGCTGTGCCGGAAGTGTACAAAACTAGGAATCACCCAGTCAGCGAGCCTGACCACCCGTTCCCTATAGTTGCCTCCTACGACAAGCATGGGTTGTGGAAGATCAGTTCTCACCCGGCCTGAGATTTGGGCTTCCCAGACATTGAGCGGAGCCGCCATGATAATACAAGAATATCGTTAACAGCAGCCTGAATCTGAATAATATACTTTCTGTAATCAGACAAAGATTTTAGCAATTATTAATACAACATTTTTGCGATTACCCTTTTGAACTAAACTATGCCGTTTTGGTACCAAATATTCAGGAGAATTGGTACACAAGGAGAACACCTTTTCAGACACTACACATGTATTGAGTTGTAAATAACCTTCAAAACATCAACGATGATATTCCGTTTCGGATGGCAAATAAACGCGAATAATGTCTTTTCATCTCTACTTTAAATTTCCAACAAAACTTTTAATACCAAGCAGGAGTTATATATCACGCCGACTACCAAGAAGAATACCCATTTCGGTGTCGTAGCCAGAGGGTTAAGGGGTTCGTCATGCTGAAGGAACGGGCTCGAGCGCCCACAGGGCATAATGTATGCCCATTTCCGCTGTCCTTCGCCATGATGTTAAAAGCGGGCAAAAACCAACTCACTCAGTCATAGAAAATATAAGAACGTGAATATAACTTGAAGTATCAGAAACAATACGACTCCTGCCACCAACCAAGTGTGGATGTCGTTTCATCTGTGAACCACTCTGATAATCTCGGTTCATTCCGCTACCGACATGGTACCTCGGGCAGCCGTGGAGTAGTGATATTGCATGGATTCACTGTAAACCTTTTAACACCAGATACTTCCGCATGTAGTTCGGACTTGGTTTAAAGACACGATATTCTGTGTCAAATAGAAACTTTGATTTTAAAAGTAACAGCTTTCATTTGAAGACAAACGTTTACCGGAATGCTTTGAATAGAATGGATTCCTTTAATGCTGTAGAGATTCTGTTGAATAAGGGTCGAGTGTTTACTGAGCACTGAGACTTACGACCCTCCTGAAAATAATCCCAACATATGTCAAATATCAATATATTGTCAAGTTGTAGAAAAGAATATTGAATATGGAATACGCTGGAATTTGCACATGCAAAGTTGCGCATGTCAGTGAGTATCTCATTTACGCGTAAACGTTCAGACTCCTTACATCGCCCATTGAATCCCCTTACCATAGTAACCCAATGTGATACCATTCCACACAGTGTGGGTGAGTTTAGACAGGACGTTTGTGTCGCAGCCGGGTTGTACCGATCCGCCATTGACGTAAAAATCTACGTGACCCATGGCCTGCTTAGCCCCCATGCCAAGAGACAGGATCGTGCCGTCGTCGGTGTGGATGATGTCGACGAAGGTGGCGTCAGTGGGGTCAAGACGAACCTGTGGTGGCGTGTCTTCGAAGTAAGGCTCAGCTGGGTCCAGACCTACAGACCGACATGGATGTTTTAAGCATATGATGTTAAAACTGTGCCATGTTAGTCCTATGGAAAACACAGATAGAATGTCATTATAACCGAATATTTCATTAGTTAAAATTGTTTCAAATCAACAACCAATTAAATCGGCCCCTTCTGTACATGAGGTTTGCATAGATCTGCTTTCTTCAACGTCTTGTCACAGGTACAAATAGACACATTTGATCGAGTTAGAAAATTAATATTGTTTGAAAATATTTCTTTCTTTTTAATAATAAAGCGAAGCCGGTGGGTATTTTATATTAAAGTACTCACGGAAATAAAAATAAAATGGTGTTTGGCGTTTATTTCGTAGCTTTGAACACAACTTAGGTTTGTTGAATATCCTATGACTATCGTTTTTCCCAACTATTTTTTAAACACTTTTTTTGTAAAATCATCCAAAATAGATGAGTATACAGGAGAGCAAATCGTGTCATTTTTACCCCTTGAAATTTCATTTAAGTCAAAATGTACGTTTTATATGCAGGCTATAGTATGCAAATGAGATGTACTCTCCAGGTTCGCGTACATATTATATATTTTTTATGAAAAACGTCATATTCCATTCATTCTTTGTTTCTTTTATCCTAATTGATTACAAAATAATTGATTTAGGGACTTTCTCAGTACATCTTTCATGCCTGTACTCATTCATTTACTATTTTACGAGTTCATTCATAGTTTTGCTTGTCAACTGCACACTCGCTATGGCAACGCACGTCTTCCCGTCTAAACAGTCCTGCAGGTAGTTGCTGCCACCCATTGTCGATTGTGACGTAAGTTATAACATGTTTCTAAATTTATTGATAATATGCCCCAAAAAAATATTTTTGCCGGCGAAGTGGTATTTTGGATGATGATTAGAGGACCGAATTAAAAAGCCTAGTTGGGAAAAACATACTTATTTTAATATTTGTTAAACCTATCTATTTTAATGAAGTAATAAACAAATAAACGGCGAAAACCATTTTATTTCTATTTCCGCGAGTACTTTAGGAGACGTTACGGTTATGTTGCATTGCGAATATGACTATCACGAGCACAATGCAACTTCTCTGGTCAATGCGTGTATACCAGGGTTTGGAAATTGAAAGGAGTGGTGTATTTTAATTGGTCTTAAACCATTATAGAATGCAGATTTTACACATGTGGCATTCGAGTATCTTTATGAAACCAAGGGCGTAGCTACTATTATAAAAAATAGCCCGGGCTTACACATAATTGTTGCTGAAAAAGCTGGGCAAGTCCTCAATACTATCTAAATATAAAGCTTTCCAACCTATCGGGCTTACACGAAAAATGGCTTGCTACGCGCCTGGAAACGCATTAAATAAGTTACAAATCAGTACAGTCATTTCAAAAATACCATCATGTGGGTAAACCGATTTTCATTCTCGCTCACTTAACCAGCCACACATGAACCCTCCCTCTCGCTTGCTCACCCACTGTACACCGCATACCTATTTTCACTTTCTTCTCCCCGTCACTGAACTGTTAGACGTTTATTTATTAGCTGAATATTGTCACTATTTATGATATATCAGTTATGGACCAATCGTAGTACCCACTGGCCTTGACCTACCTGAGATTCTCCCCATGTCTTTGACTAGTTCCCCAGCATATCCCGCTATATGCGCTCCCAGACTGTGCCCGATGATGTGGAAGAGGTTGGATTCGCTGTTGGTGTTGTTGAGGATGTAGTTGATGAGTTGGCCGACCTGAGCGCCGACGAGACGGGTGTTGGCCGAGGCTTGACCATAAGGCAGCGCTGCCCCAATTCCCCAGTCCACAATGATCACGTTCATTTCAGCCTTAGATATTAGAGAAGGAAGACCCGGTAGAATAATCTAAGATGCCTGTGTCTGGTTCTAACAGCCAATAGAGCGATATGTACGACCTTCATGTGGTTGCGACTAACGGGATCGGGTGGTCAGGCTCGCTGACTGGGTTGACACATGTCATCGCTTCCCAATTGCGCAGATCGATGCTCGTGATGTTGATCACTGGATTGTCTGGTCCAGACTTATTTACAGACCGCCGCCATATAGCTGGAATATTGCCGAGTGCGGCGTAAAGTTTAACTCACTCACTCAGTCACTCACCTTCATGTGATCCTGACATGGCAAACTAGTGGTTGATACAATGAGTGAGTGAGTGAGTTTAGTTTTACGCCACACTCAGCAAATATAACTAAACTCACTCACTCACTGACTTTTTATTCCTTGGACTCACATTTTTCAGTAGCTCTGACTTCATGTTCTCCAGCCACTGCTTGTGTCCGTTGTGCGTGAAGCCGTGGACGAGGAACTTTGTAGGCTTCGTGGCGTCATAGTGAGACTTGGAGAAGCTGGATGGGTCCGACACTGACAACGTCTCCTCTTTATCTGTCGTGGGGTTGGCACTGGAGATACACATGTTACCTTGAGGGAGGGGCTGGTCATTTGTTATAGGGGAGGGGAACAGTTGGATGAGGGTTTGTGTGTGAAAAGTGCAGATTGAAAGAAGGGGTTGAAAATTTGTCAAAATAACATGTTAGGTGTCTTCAAGCAAGAATGGCTGTTGCATGTATATAAATTTCACATGTATTCATATATTTTGGTTGGACATAAAAATGCCCCTCACCCATCATTTCACTTCAAAATATCTGACTGACTGAGTATGGTTTTACGCCGTTTTCAGCAATATTCCAGCAATATCACGGCGGGGGACACCAGAAATGGGCTTCACAAATTGTACCCATGTGGGGAATCGAACCCGGGCCTTCGTCGTGACGAGCGAACGCTTTAACCACTAGGCTACATCATCGCCCCACTTCAAAATTATTATGTCCATGCACAAGTGAACAGTTAAAAACAGGATGTACATAACAATGTTCGGCCATTTGGCCTATGAGACACACACAATTCGTTAAAATGTCAATTGCACATATGAAATATAAAACAGCACATAATAATAAGCCAGTAAAACCATAGATCTGCTATATAGGCTTGAATAGTTAGATACAGCTGATCGAGATTGGGCTTCAAAGGTATTGTACGTACGCTTCTAGCAATTATACGTCACATCTTAATATTAACCACTTATACAGTTCTTGAGTACTGGTATTACTCCCGACGCACTGGTTAGATAGTCCATGTGATCATAAACGTGTTTAGGATTTAAAACTGTTAATCTACTACAGAGGTCGGCAGAAGGGTGTTGAGATAGGAAGAAAAGATACAGCGAAGGACGATGGGGTCACCAACATCAGATACCCGCGAGGGACTTTAGTTTTACGCCGTTTTTAGCAATATTCCAGCAATATCACGGCGGGGACACCAGAAATGGGCTTCACAAATTGTACCCAAATGTGGGGAATCGAATCCGGGTCTTCGGCGTGACGAGCGAACGCTTTAACCACTAGGCTACCCACTTCAAAATTATTATGTCCATGCACAAGTGAACAGTTAAAAACAGGATGTACATAACAATGTTCGGCCATTTGGCCTATGAGACACACACAATTCGTTAAAATGTCAATTGCACATATGAAATATAAAACAGCACATAATAATAAGCCAGTAAAACCATAGATCTGCTATATAGGCTTGAATAGTTAGATACAGCTGATCGAGATTGGGCTTCAAAGGTATTGTACGTACGCTTCTAGCAATTATACGTCACATCTTAATATTAACCACTTATACAGTTCTTGAGTACTGGTATTACTCCCGACGCACTGGTTAAATAGTCCATGTGATCATAAACGTATTTAGGATTTAAAACTGTTAATCTACTACAGAGAGGTCGGCAGGGGTGTTGGAGATGGGAAGAAAAGATACAGCGAAGGACGATGGGGGTCACCAACATCAGATACCCGCGAGGGACTTTAGTTTTACGCCGCTTTTAGCAATATTCCAGCAATATCACGGCGGGGGACACCAGAAATGGGCTTCACACATTGTGCAAATGTGGGGAATCGAATCCGGGTCTTCGGCGTGACGAGCGAACGCTTTAACCACTAGGCTACCCCACCGTCGCGATACCCGTGAAGGTCCGGGTTAGAATATTGATCTTCAGCAACCCATGCTTGTCGTAAGAGGCGACTAATGGGATTGGGTGGTTAGGCTTGCTGACTTGGTTGACACATGTCATCGTATCTCATTTGATCAGATCGATGCTCATGCTGTTGATCACTGGATTGTCTGGTCCAGACTCGATTATTTACAGACCGCCGTCATATAGCTGGAATATTGCTGAATGCAGCGTTAAAGTGAGTGAGTGTTTTACGCCGGACTCAGCAATATTCCAGCTATATGGTGGCGGTCTGTAAATAATCGAGTCTAGACCAGACAATCCAGTGATCAACAGCATGAACATCGATCTACGCAATTGGGATACGATGACAAGTGTCAACCAAGCCAGCGAGCCTGACCACCCGATCCCGTTAGACGCCTCTTACAACAAGCATGGGTTACTAAAGACCAATTCTAACCCGGATCTTCACAGGTCGCAGCGTCAAAGAACAAACAAGCAAACAAAACCAAAATGACAGCTTCACGACAAAGAATGATACGGTGTTGCTACAGATAGGGGAACATTTTCTCGTGCGGAACTCCCCTAACCCCCACCCCTTCTAGATCCGCCCCTGCTGGCTAATGTCACACGAGTTGATCTGAGTTGACTACGCCTACTGAACAACTGATGATTCGTTTCTTTTACGGATTTAATCATGAATAAATACACAACCCTAGACACAAATAGCATACATGTGTTCTCATATCCTACTGGGAAATCGCCAATTTATTTATTTCAATTAAAACCTAATTATTTTTTTCTGTCAAACTTGTATATGGTCATAATATACTGGACAGAATAAGTTAGGGATATTGGTATTTTTATGATTGATATTTTATCAGTGTGTCAATGAATAAATAGATCATTATTCATAATTTCAAAATTTACATATATCCCTAACTATTTTTGTCCAGTATATATAGTATACATTATACTAACCGCGTGTATAGAAGGAAGGCTGTCTTGATGTCTTGTGGAGACTTGGGGAGGAAGTTGCTGGGGCGCTTGCTGCTCTTGAAGGGCGAGGCGTTGCTGAAACACCCCAGGTCCCCGTAACATACCTCAGAGGGTTTCGATGAAGTTATCAGGAACGCTGTGGAAGAATACAATACCCTTGATTCCAATTCAGTGTACACGCGTGCTGAAATACTTCAATAGAGTGTTTGTGAAACATCACATTTCTGTTTTGCAGCCTGTATATTGTACACACTAAATCCCAAAATGTGAACAAGAGGTAAAATCCGGTGTGGTTATCGGCTAAAAATAGATTTATTCAGGAATCATAAACCTAGTCAGTCTCAATAACGCAGCGCAGAGACAACCAACAACCAGTATATGTCAGAAGGATTCACCTGGCGTGACAATATATACTAGCCACATAAAGAAACTGTGCACACAGAAAATGCCTTCATAATTGGAATACAACACAGCAAAGACGAAATGATGTAGACACGTTATAAGCTGAAGTATCTGACCACAAGAAAATGTCAAAAGAACATGAACAATATCCGTAACGATGACGTCAGAAGTTCAAAATCGAGTAGGGGGTCACACGACGAAGTCACAAAGTCAATAACGGGTATGACCACCGTGTGCGTGAAGCACAGCAGTGCATCGAAGACGCATAGAGGCTAGCAAATGAGCATTGAAGGCCTGGGGAATGGTCTGGGGCGTGGTCACTGCTGTCTGGAACCTGTATCTGAGATGAGTCACCCGAATCCATCTGTCCTGTCTTGGCGTCGTTACGTCGGGAACGCCCAGAACGTGGGTGGTCGGCGACGTCATTACTGTTTCGATAACGCCTGACCCATGCAGATATCGTGTTACGATGGCATTGGAAATGTGCTGCCACCTGTTGTTGGCTCATTCCTGCTCGAACCATTCCAATGGCTTCATGACGTTGAGCAGATGTTAATCTTGGCATGATGTGCATGTGACTTCTCATGTGAATTGGTGAACGTTTGAATGACCAAAGATCAAGCTTTCGACAGTGACAGCAATTTCAGAGTTTCACATGTTGTGTGCATCTGTACGGGCTGCACGTGCAGTAACACATTGCAAGGCCTTAGGCCACCGTCAATGACGTCACGTCGCCTGGCACGTGCATGAGCGTTTGATTGTCTCCAATACTTGCTATGTTCACAAATGTATTTATGTATAAATACGCTGTGTGCCTATATTTATATTTTCTGTGTGCACAGTTTCTTTATGTGGCCAGTATATGTATCCGAAATGGGATCCCTATCTTTCGACTCTAGAAAAACGTTAGCAAAACCCTCAAAACCCATCCATTCGTCGTGCAAATGACATTAGTGCCAAATCAGGTTTTGCACGTGCAGTCGATCACGTGATCTTCGCATCGAAGTTATCTTCATATGCACGTGTTTGCATTGGCCTCAAGAATTGAAAAACACCTTTAAACCACCATTCTAACGGTACTTGAAATGCCACGATTGTCAAATGTGCAACGTGAACGTGCCCTTGGCATGTTGCAAGCGGGAAGATCAGTTAGTGACGTCGCAAGAGCAATGGGATGCAGCCGTCGTACTGTGTATGACTTGCGAGGTCGTCTACAACAAACTGGCACCACTTCTGATCGCCCAAGGTCGGGTCGTCCACGTGTGACGTCACGAGCAGAAGACCGTCAAATCGTCCTACGTCACCTACGTGACAGATTTCTGCCGGCTACACGAACCAGGGCTGAGATTTTTAGAGGTCGACTGTCCTGACAGACCATTCGAAATCGGTTGTGGGCTGCCAATCTCCATTCTCGACGTCCATATCGTGGGCCAATATTGACGCCGTTTCATCAACGTCAACGTCTGCTGTGGGCCCGACGTCACCTCCGATGGACCCAGAGAGACTGGAATCGAGTCGTCTTTAGCGATGAATCCAGGTTTACCCTCAGATTCGCGGACGGCAGGCATAGAGTCTGGAGACGACGTCGTGAACGGTATACCCAATGTTGTGTACAGGAAGTCGACAGATTCGGTGGCGAAAGTTGCATGGTGTGGGGTGCTTTCTGTGGGAACAACCGTTCCCGACTTCTGGTCATCCGTGGAAACCTCACAGCTGCTGCTTACCGCGACCAGGTGCTCACCCCTGAACTCGTTCCTTTCATGGCGGCTCATGGCCCAGGTCTACAGTTCCAGCATGATAATGCTCGGCCGCATACCGCGATGTTGACACGAAATTTCCTTCAAAACGCTGGAATCAACGTCATGGACTGGCCATCGAGGTCCCTTGACCTTAATCCAATAGAGCACGTTTGGGATGCACTTGGGAGAAGGCTTCGTGGTCTTAGGAACCAACCTCAGAATTTGCAGGAACTTGGCGCTGCCTTGCAAGAGCAATGGCGCAGAATCCCCAACCACGTGTTCACAAGCATCAGGCAGTCGATGAGGAGACGGTGTTTGGCAGTGGTGAATGCGCGGGGCGGCCATACACGATACTGAACTGAGAAATTTCGCATTTTTATTCTTGTGACTTGACATTGAAACTGTATGGACAGCGGTCCATGTTTATAAACGGAAACGGCGGTGTAACCAGATCAAAACGTTTGCCTAGAGCTTCGTTACCATTAGGGGCGGTTGGGTAGCCTTGTGGTTAAGGCGTTCGCTCGTCACGCTGAAGACCCGGATTTGATTCCCCACATGGGCACATTGTGTGAAGCCCATCTCTGGTGTCCCCCGAAGTGATATTGCTGGAATATTTCTAAAAGCGGCGTAAAACCAACTCACTCACTCACTCAGTAACACTGACTTTTCAAAATATTTTATGTTAGTACAGCACGGAGGCTCTGTCATTCAATAAATCAGCAGCTCAGCGTGTGATCAGGCGAGGCACGCGTCAACTGCCACGTGCTGCACAGTAGCAGGTTGTGACAATCACGAACATATATTTAATTGCAGACCCGTGAAGATCCGGGTTAGAATTGATCTTCAGTAACCCATGCTTGTCGTAAGAGACGACTAAAGGGATCGAGTGGTCAGGCTCGCTGACTTGGTTGACACATGTCATCGTATCTCAGTTGTGTAGAACGATGCTCATGCTGTTGATCACTGGACTGTCTGGTCCAGACTCGATTATTTACAGACCGCCGCCATATAGCAGGAATGTTGCTGAGTGCGGCATTAACCAACAAACCAACTATTTACTTGCACGTGCACTTTTACATCAACCCACAGAACTGATTGGCCTATGTCGACTCAACCGGAAAGTAATCTTGTCACAGTTGCGAATTATTCAATTCTTAAACACCACGAGTCCACGAGCTGATGCAACAGTTAGGTGAACGGGTTTTAATATCGCTTTCATTATCGTTTTACTTACATAGAGACAGTATTGGATATAGAAAACAAGGGACATTACTCGTGTCGTCTAAGGAGACACCCCCCAAAATCATTCCATTCGTCACCACTCGCCCCTTTCCGTAAACTCCAAGAAGACACGAGTCGCTATTCGGCTTGTCCCGGAATAACACGAGTTGGTCACGAATGACCCCAAAATCTACTGTTGAAACTGAAAATCATTTCAGTATTGCACCCTACACGACTACAAATGAAACAAAGTTACGAGATATCGGAACCTTAAAGAATTTCTTTTAAAATCGCTAAATAGAAACCGTTGTATATACTTTTGTTTATTTCTTTGTTGTTTAACGCCACACTAAGCACTTTTCCAGCTATGTGGCACGCTTGCAAGCATGGGTCGCTGAAGATCAATTCTAACGCGGAGTTCCAGTATATGTCAAGAGCTGTCTTGGAAGGATTTCATTGGCAGTAAACAGAACCGAGTAGAGATTTCCAGAATGGAATCATAATCAGTTTAGTTATCTGTGGGACAGTAGGGAAACCTGATGGTCGAACTCGTGTCACCCCTCATCATGTTGCAGGAATATTTGCTAAAAACGGCGTGAAACCATATTCACTTGCTTAGTTATCTGCCCCTGTTCGTGTACACGAACGTGACCGACGGGATAGGCGATCGTACGTCAGTAAGACCGGAGACTCGTGGACTTTCGCCCGAACGTGTTCCTTATCTAGTTGCCAAGAGTGGTTTGAATACCGGTTGGGAAACTCCCCATTACTGTCAGTTACTAAACATATTCTGGAGTCATGAATGAAGACCACTTTCTGGTGTAGTTTTTAAGTTTATTGTATATTCCTTGAGCTGTCCGTTAATGCACATTTTAGTTCTATGGGAACCGATTTGTGGGCTGACCTCTGGAAATAGTATTACGAAACAAGCTGACACAGTTGTTATTATATCTTCTTTGAACTGACCTTTAGATATGTCACGGCAAAGCTTATCGCCTGAAGGACGCGCAGATGTTGGTAACAGGGTCACTGTGCACAATATGGATCATCTAACAATTGTATACACGCATGCATGCATACATACATACATACATGCGTGCGTGCGTCCGTGCATTCACACAGCGACTCAGCCGGTCAAACGCGTTAAGTTGTTATGTGAATATAAAATGGGATTTTTTTTTTTTTTTATTGATTTTTTTTTTTATATTTGTTCCCAGGATTACAATGTCATATGTAGAAAAATGATGTACAGACAGATGGTTGATGTACAGGTACTATGTCAATATCATGTTAATACACATATACAAGTCAATAAAAGAGAAATATGACCTCAGGTAAATTGGATACATTTTAAATTCATCAAAGAACTGGGAAGAGAAGACCCCATTTATGATTGAAATGTAAATTGAAATATAACGGTATAAAAATGTCAATGTTTAATAATAACATTGTCTACGTGCATGTTTGTTTTCTGCTGCAAACAGCATCATTCCTTCTGTATCACAGCTGTCTGTGAAACATCGTGCTTCGTCCAACGGCGCCTATGTAGGACCGCGCAATCAACACTCAGTAACAGATCAATTTCTGTCGTCGCTGATAAACACGGGTGCTGTATGTGTAATTATGGTGATCATATACCGTACATAGTGCTATCACAACTGTCGATGCCCATTGTTCCCAGCCCATTTGTGGTGTCCCCCGCCATGATATTGCTAAAAGCGGCGTAAAACTAAACTCACTCACTCATTTTCCCCACTTGTATATAAACTGATGCACAGAAGTAAGTACACACTTTGCGCTTTGGAATCATCCCCCCAACCCCCAAAAAAACCCCAAAAACAAACAAAACAAACAAAACAAAACAAAACAAAACAACGTAAATATTTGATCGTGACTTAAAAGTTAAAAGTCGCAAACATTGTGTTCATGCGTACCTTGTGTCAAAGCATCACATTTGTCAAACGCAATTGCGACATTGCCAGAGAATGTAAACCTCTCAGTCGATGTTGCCTGGTTAGTAGACTAACGCTTAGTCTCTGAATATATACTCTCCCAAAAAAGAAACGCATATAGGAATTTCAACTGTATTTTTATGTTTATTTTGAAACATCTTGTAGGCTTTATGAGTCAATCAAATATAGCGATATTGCACACTGGGAATGCAGACTTATCCGTCTTTGGCACCAACTCGAGGAAAATCAGTTTGAGTGTCACATGGAGACGTGTGGTGGCGCTGAAGTCAATACCTCGTGTGACCACCGTGGGCATCCAGAACTGCACGGCATCGCCTCGGCATCGAACGAATAAGTCTCAGAATCTCGTGTTGCCCAATCGCAGCCCACTCTGCCTGTAGTGCCTGTGCGAATTGCTGAAGTGTCTGGGGCTGAGGGTTACGGCGTCGCAGCCGTCTGTCCAGGGCATCCCACAGATGTTCGATCCGGTTTAAGTCCGGTGATCTTGAGGGCCAGGGGAGCACATTGATGTTGTGGTTCTGGAGGAAGTCTCTAGTGTGACGTGCTGTGTGGGGCCTGGCATTGTCCTGTTGAAACAACTCCCTCTGGCGATCAATGATTGGAATGAGGTGTGGGCGTAGGATTTCGTCACAGTACCGTTGAGCTGTCAGGTTGCCCTGGATCATCACCAAATCACTTCTCCTACGGCAGGTGATCTCTCCCCACAACATAACACTTCCCCGGCCGAATCTGTCCACCTGGGGAACGCAAGAGTCGGCGAAACGTTCACGTCGACGTCTGTACACCCGCATTCTTCCATCGCGTCGTTCCAATAGAAATCGTGATTCATCACTGAACCAGATTCTATGCCAATTCGCCTAATGGTTAAAGCGTTGGCTCGTCACGCCGAAGACCCGGGTTCGAATCCCCACATGGGCACAATGTGTGAAGCCCATTTCTGGTGTCCCCCGCCGTGATGTTGCTGGAATATTGCTAAAAGCGGCGTAAAACCAAACTCAGTCAGTCAGTCTATGCCAATTCGGTAGGTTCCAGGCCTGAACGTTGGTGCACCATTGAACTCGATGTCGACGATGTTGTTGTCGAAGCACAGGGCCAAAATAAGGTCTTCTGGCACGTAAACCAGCCTCTCTCAACCTGTTCCTGGCGGTCTGTGCAGAAAGCCTGCTCAATCCGGGTATTTGTCGAGCGGTACTGGTCGCCGTAGCTGTTCGATGACGCAGGTGATGTACCCGGATGTAGCGATCCTGCGCCGCAGTGGTCGCTCGAGGTCGCCCACTACGAGGGGCATCTACTACCGCATTCTGCCGGCGATATCTCTCCCAGAGCCGTGAAATAGTGCTTTGGTGAACATTCATGCGTCGGGCAACTGCACGTTGAGACTGGCCAGCTTCAAGCAAACCAACGGCGATATGACGGTTGGCTTCACTTAGACGTGGCATTTTGCGTTCGTCAACAATATTCCAAATACAGTGAATAATCGACAGACAGCGATCAACCTTTTATACCCATCATTGAGACTATCTGATCCCCAACTTTCACGTGCATTGCATGTGAATTGTGTATTCTGTGACTCTACACGCCGAAATTGAAAATCATGCTGTTAAATACGGGTATTTTACGGATGGTGCGTTTTGTTGTGATGTTTCAAAACATAAACACCATAGGACTCATAAACAGAGCAAAACCTTTTGTAAAATGAATCACGTTTTAAATCATTGCTACATGAAATTGCTATTTTCATGATGCGTTTCTTTTTGGGGAGAGTGTATAATTTTGATTGTAACAAATAAACCCATTTAAATTGAAAAGGAGCCCCTGGGGAGGCCAGAGATTGAACCTGAGGAAATCTAGACTGGCTTTAGCACTGCAGGGAGGGCTAGGCTGTAGGGAAAATAATGTGGTTCAGGGACTGTGAGACAGACTACCGGGTTAGTGACATGCCCCGAAATGGTCGAAAGGCCCGGATACCCCCAGCATGCATCCGTCTCACTGTGTTCCTGCTGATGAGGTGACCTAAAGCTGTTACTGCTGATGACGTCACTGTGAGCAACCAGTTGCGCAGATGAAGAATACGCAGGTGATGTCATCTTGGTCACTCTCAGTCTGCCAGATCAGACACTGTCAGATGCCTGACCAGTCTGGTTGATGCGTCCCATTCGTCTGACGATGGTCGAAGCCCCAGTCTGCTACATTTCAGCAGGGATAGGTCACTCGCTTGCTTTCTCAACCATTTGTACCAATTAGTGTGTGACTCGTCATGCTCCAACGCACACACTGACTTGGTTCGTTCCCAGCGCAACTTCGGTTGCGTTTAACAGTTTATTATATCAGTCGGAAACTATCGGCACACTTTTTGCTTCTGCAAGCGCAAACCATACACATGGGATGCAGCAAAATAATGACTTTCACAATATTCCACTCACAGTACTCTAAAGGATATCTGTCGTGTTTTGGTCGGTAGCATGGACACAATTCTTTGGACTTGTAAATCACAATCAAGTCACTTTTCAAAAATATTTACTTGAGAAAATATTCCCAAACCAAAACACAAGGTGTGTACTTTCTTTTGTACGTCGGTTTATGAGGTTAGACTGAAATATGGTCGTGGAAATAATATTATCTTATTGAGAAACATAATTTAGGCCTGAATAATGTTCTCTGTAGCATCATTGAAATACACAGTTGTAAATTTAGTACTGTGATTCATACACACATGTTTTGTCTAATTGTTGCTGAGAGGGAGAGAGAGAGAGAGAGAGAGGGAAGGGGGAGGGAGAGAGGTCATACGGTAGAATGAGGTGTGGTGTCATCAAATCAAACGGCACTGCTGCATATTGTGTTTTGTTCGTATCCACGTTCTACTGTATATAATATTCACTTGTATAATAAATTTGAGTTAACTGATTAGATTAAATAGATAACTGTTTTCTTGACCTGACCAAAGTCTGTTACCACGTAAATGTATCATACATACGATTCAGCAACATACAAGCAAGTATATCACCTCGTATTTAATGTGCATCTTTTTTTTCAAAAGTTCATAAAACTTTTTTAAAATCTGAATTGCATTAAAATGCATTTATCTGAAGTATACACTTTGTCTGATATCATATCGATTCACCTCACTCAAATATTTATGTAAACGTGCGGATTTATGAATATATTCTTATTTATTGATTAGTTGGCTATGTTTTCGTTACAATCTGAAATATAAACCTTACCGTTGGTTGCGACCCCGCACAGACATACAACCAGCAGCGGAATCATGTTTACGTCTCTCGCCTCTGTGACGACAATCTGAAAAGGCTTGTCTCTTCGGCCTATCAATGAACATTCGTGACCAATTCGTGTTATTCCGGGACAAGCCGAATAGGAGTTTACGGAAAGGGGCGAGTGGTGACGAATGATCAATGAAGTGAATAACTCCACAGCTGCTGGTTCCACTGATAAGAACGGCCCTGGTGGCTTTGGTCAACGGTTACATAACGCATCTGTTGCGTAAATTTCCCAATGGGAAATTTTCTGTTTCTTTTCCTTTTGGAACAGTCTAAGTTGTAGAATATACAACTTTACATTAAAAATACCAACAATGCTAGATTCGATCTCATGTCTGTCAATTTGCTGAGCTGAATGAAATCGCGAACCGACTATGTTTTAGAGTTACCTCCCTTCCTCCAAAACCCGTCTCGGGACGTTCTCGTTGCCGTCGAGTTCTGTTCTTTCTATATGTTGAAAACTGTGTTCACGATCCCATTTACATTTTGTAAATACAACATGCTTAAACCAATTTGAGCAATGGTGCGTTGTGAAGTAATGGCGTAGAATGTTGCTTAAATTACCTCGTTCATCATGGTCTAAAAAAAATAATACACTATCCTAACTTTCTTGTAATGTGTGCCAGAAAACATTAAAAGGCAATTAATCACTTGATGATTTGAAAAGAATTATTCATCAGTTCCACTAAATACATCTGAATAATAAAAGGGATAATTTGGTTATACCTGAGAAATGATGATAGCTGAAGTGCTTTTATTGTGAAAATATAGACTGCTTTTTCACGATTTTTGCTGGAACAGTAACATTTTTCATGTTATCATATGAGCTTCAAATAATGGAATGAAATAAATGCTGTATGTACATGTGGTAATGGATCAGAAAGCATTAATGACGCTTTAATGACACATGTAATGGTAAGAAATATATATTCACTATGTTAATTAACTCATGACCAGACGACCGCCTCCGTGGTGTAGTGGTTAGAGCGTCCGCCCGGAGAGCAGAAGGTCGCGGGTTCGATCCCCGACCGCGTCATACCATAAGATGTTAAAATATGGTACTTGTTGGTCCCTGCCTGGCGCTCGGCATTAATGGGTACAACAAGGACTGGTCGGCTCGGGAGTCAGTATAATGTGTCTGAGCGGGGTATTCATGCTTCACTGCGGCATGGTATCTCAGTGGGCTAGCACTATAAAACCAGCTCCAGTCTGGGCTAGTACAAGCAGCCGCACATACACATAACACGCATGCACGTCGTCTAGATGACGAAATATTCTCAAGCACGACTGATAAGTATTAATTTCACCTCACCCACCTCATGACCAGCTGTGTCAAACTGGTAACGGTAGACATGTGTTATATTTGGGATTACTCTTTCTCAGTGAAGTACAGATTCTAGTACTTTTGGGGTTGAGTCCCAACCGGGATTCGAACCCGCACCCTCAGAGTCAGGCACCTAACCGCCAGCACACAAAGTCAGACGCCTAGACCGCTCAACCACCGCGGCTTCCACAAAAATGGAAGTCGGACTACTGGTGGTCTAGACTGCGGACTTTGTGTACCCCTCTGATAAGTATTAATTGGCACGGAACCCACGGCCGAAAGCTGTAAAATACACAATGCCATATTAGAAAATGGTCAAATGTAACATATGATATATTTGGAATTACACTTTCTCAGTAAAGTACAGAAGCTGCGGTGGCTGAGCGGTCTAGGCGTCTGACTTTGCGATTAGGTGCCTGACTTTGAGGGTGCGGGTTCGAATCCCGGATGGGACTCAACTCAAAAGTACTAGAATTTGTACTTTACTGAGAAAGTGTAATCCCAAATATAACATATGTTACATTTGACCACTTTCTAAAATGGCATTGTGTATTTCACTGGTGACGGTAGATTTATATCAAATATGTAAGGATTAAGTATTTCTTAGTAACTGAAATAGGATTCCAAGAATTTGGAATGAAATGTTTTAATCTGAGATCTGTTTGTTAATTAGCAGTTCACTGAAGTAGACGTTAAATAAACTTCAAAAGATTAATCATTCCTAAAACTGAAGCCGATGTCACTTCAGTAAACAGTATGGGGATAGAACCGGTGTCGTGCCGGGAAGGCTAAAATTTATTTTTCAGATGTCCCGGGAAGGCTAGTATAATTTCGGCTGTGGGGTATTGTGAAACTTTCTGTCGAATTCACTTAAAATTTGCCGTATTTTGCAGATTAATGTTTAAATGGTCTAAATAATGGTTATAAATCATAGTTACGTAGTGTATAAATGTTTTTGTATGAACTTAGCTTTGGGCATGTTTAGGAATTTCCAATTCTAAACGTTGATAATTTTGTTCTTAAATTCGAAGTAGATTGACAAAAATGTGTTTTAGTATAGAAAATGACAATTTAATTTCGAATTAAAGAAAATGTATAAAGAAGAATAGACGTGAAAATGTGTAAATTACTTTATTTATATTTCTATATGTGCCAAAATTAAAGAGCCTCCACGTTAGTCCTGTTTTCTTTGTAATTTGTCGAGTGAGGTGCGCCATAACATTGCATTGCTTAAGGCTAATTGAATTTGGAGGCGTATTTTGCCTTCCCGGCCATGAACCATAGAAACATACCACTTACGTGATAACAACTCCCTGTTTATTGCATAGAGCGGCATTTCCATGTACATCGTTCAGGATAAACAAGCTGATTGAATGTTGATTGATTCCATCATTTGGGCAATAGAGTGCATTTCGACTTTGTCATACTGAAGTTGATTTACAGATAGAATCTGTCAATCAGCTGTTCAATTAGCTTCCAATCAGCCTGTTTACAATTTGTTGATCTTACTCTCCTGCTGGCCCCATCCAACGGTGTGTTACCTGCTGAATTACCTGTTGTTGTTGTTGTTGTTGTTGATGATGTTGTTCATCTGCTGCTTGTCACTATGTATATATACTTCTATCACTCACTTACTATGCATATATACTTCTATTCACCTGGTTGTAGTAACTTTTATCTTGATAACGGTGTAAGAATAAACATGGAAACGCCCCTCTATGCATCAACAAGAAATCGGCATCTGTAAAGTCGTACCTTAAGAATGCCAATCAAACAAGCATTGGATTACGATTGGCGTTGTGTTCTCGATGCAGGTTTTAACATTTTCCAAACAAATATAAGCTGCTTCGCTGCGGGTGTCACTACAGAGACATATTATATATGAATACATCAAAAGATGAACATGCAGATGTCGCTTCAAGCCTTTTAAGAATCGCATTAAACAGCAGGCAACTGCAGATTTGAACACTGTTCTCAAACAATTGTCGTATAAGTGGTAATAATTCCAGAGCATTAGAGATGAGATTGGCTTGCTTATTTTGGAATTTAATGCTTTTCATAAACTAGAATCTCATAAAGTATTTCTCTCTTGAATCATCTGTGATATGAACTTGTGTACTGATTTCTGTAGAAATTATTTAACGTGATCTAATATGAATAATGCATTAAACATTCAGCCACCCTTTATTGTAAATGACCAAATTAATTAGTTACACTATGATTTATTTAAGAAGGAATTCATTTGTTTTGTTCTTGTTTTGTTTTTTTACTCAATCCAGTTATCTATTAACAATTTCATGATATTTCATGAATACACCAAATGCATAAACCGTCTCTGAACACAAACCCAAATGGCAGATCCCTCGTGGCAGGTGTTAATTAGAGAATGTATTCTACTACAATAAGCCTATTATGCCCTGGCAAGCGTTCACTTTTATGACATGTAATAAACCCTGTCCAGTCAGTCAGTGGGTCCGGTAAACTTTTATTTTAGTCCATGTAACTTAGGTGTATGTAATTTGTATTTATACGAACAGTGACAGGGGAAAAAATAAACATATTTGCGCTTTTGTGGATAACAAATAAAACATACACTTAAAACGGTATTTTGGAAAATGCTAGCCATACTAGGGGCAAATACAACAGTCAATATCGATTTTTGACACTTAGAACAAAAAGGATGCAGACGAGTGAAGTTATACTGATATATAGAATTGGTTCCTAGTTGATCGCATAGGACGACGAATAGAATTTTTTTTTACTTTAAACATGATCCCAACTTTAAAAAATGTATCTCTTCACGCGTCAGATGCAGTTGCCTTAATATAAAGCAGAAATGAATAATATTAAAATACGGCTTATTTCTGCAGTTGTAATTAAAAATACGTCACATGCAAGATGCATTATGTGTATCAGCAATATGAACTCTAACAGAACAAAAGATAGTCCATACACTCATGGGGATCCTTGGCAAAAGGAGAAACTGAAAGAAGTGGTGGTACAATCCTTCCTAAATTTACCAAAAAATACAAGCCTTGTAAATATCATCTTAACAATTTTGGAATTTTTTGTTGTAAATATGATATTTACAAATTGTAAATTATTGTAAATCAACTTTTTTTTCCCCCCCTTGTGTACAGTAAATCTATTGATTGTCATCAGCTTACATCGGCGCTTACATCATGATGTCAATCACTGGATTGTCTGGTTCATGGCAGATTGTTTACAGACCACTGTCATAAAGCTGTAATGTTAAACAACACACAGAAATATGGGTGTCGGGAGAGTGAGTTTAGTTTTACGCCGCTTTTAGAAGTATTCCAGCAATATCACTGCGGGAGACACCAGAAACGGGCTTCTCACATTGTGAGAATGGAGCCTGGGTCTTCGGCGTGACGAGCGAAAGCTTTAACCACTAGGCTACCCCACCGCTCTACTCTATGTGGAGAGGAAAGTGGTGCGAGTTGGGATGTCAACGAACTAGGAATCATTGGACGTACGCAGAGCATCATCTCAGACTACCGAGTCCCCCAAGGCTTGCCACAGCCTTAGCAACACCATCTGTACATTATAACATAACCAAGCGCCCATTTCATTTTAAAAAGACCCAAAACAATGTGCCATTTATCTGTTAACGAGACAGAAATAAAATATACTGTACGGTTTTTCAATGCACTCCTAAAGTGTTTCCGTAATTTAGATTATGGTCCTCGAAATTACTTGACATATTTTTAGCGCTTCACGTTACGGGCAGCTTTTAACATACGAGATAAACATGA